CCTAACTATTCTATGATTCTATGATTCAGAATAATAGCCTTCATTTTGCTTCAATTCAGGCATTCAGCTTGTTAAATAGACTTCTTTATGTTGGTGTAGTCTACAGTTAAGCTCTGTTAGTTGAGCCAGGTAGGAAATGGTGTAACTTTTTACCAGAAAAGCAGCACTGAGAAACCTCCAGCATGGCTGAAGTTATAACTGGCGATTCACTGCAGGCTGCTCATTGCACTTTAACCCAGTGACAGGCATGCTAAGTTCGCCTCTCTGCTTGGCAGAGGTCAAAGATGGGAGTTTTCCAAAGCTTGTGCCTCAGCTCTTGCCACAAAGGCTGCTCAGTTTGTTTCCAAACAAGTGACTTTATGACAAATCTTGGGAAGACACTTGACTTGGAATTTTTTCAGGGAGAACTGAGATGTATGCATGCTCTGTAACTGCTATGCAAGGCATATGTCTGAGGGATGTGACACCAACTTTGAGCACCAGCTCTTCACCTAATTCTCAAGCATCTATCATGGAGAGGGGGGAAACAACAAAAATAAAAGCAAAGCAAAACCCAACCATACTCTCAACAGCAGAAGCAGAAGAAACTTTGACAGAGAAGGGTCCTCAAGCCACCCAGATAAAAAAGCTGTTGTTTTACTTTAAAAACCAGGCATTGTGACAAATCTGGAAAAGCTTTGCTTGTTTTCTACTGCAGAATGAAAAGAAGTACTGAAGCCTCAAGATAATGGTCTCAGATAGACAGTGGTAACCTCCAGCCAGCACCATTAGTTCTCTATCATGCTGTTACAGAAAACATGCCCAGAAATATGTACTTAGGCATTGCTCCTTGTTCCAACACAAATATGAGGATAATAGAGGATAAAAACAGAAAAAGTGACAGTGGAATTATATACAAAATAAATTCAAGTAACTTTTAGCAGCAGACAGAAAAGAGCATCTAGAAAATAAAAAATAAAATCAGATGGTGAGTGATCAAACTGCACCAGTAGTGAAGTTTTACAGCAACCAAATTAATGAGGCCTTCAGGGAAACAGATGTACATTAGGAAGATGAACCACATGGTTCCTTAAGATGATCATTGTATAAAGAAATAGCATCAGCTAGTCAATATTACTCTGGATAAAGTAATGTTGCCTTTATGCAAAAAGGATCCAGGTCAGCACATCACATTTTCAAAATTCAAGATACAGACTAAGACTGATAAAAACTAGGCCATATTAAATGAACAGAGAGTGAATAACATAAAGCCTACTGCAGAAGTCACACCTTGGTATCACAGCTAATCAAATCCCATGATAAATGGGAAGGAACACAAGCAATCGAAGTCCCTCAAATCCTGCTTCTATTAAACAAACTCTTAATACAACAAACTTACACCCACTGCTAAACACTGCTCATCTAATTTACCCCCTCTGCCACACTGAACAGATATTTACATGATGTCTCACCCCAGTCAGCAGGGTGTAAGACCCCACTTCTCTTGCTGACAGAGAAGGGCTTCAAGCTCTGAGACACTAGCTGAGGAAGAAGGCGCACAGAGCTTTCAGTTTAAACATATTATGATTTTCTGCATTTTAGGCCAGGCAAAGAAGCTTTGTTCAAAGTTCCCAAAATAATGTGTAGGTTCTGTAGTTGCACATAACAGCATTGTCTTGCAGCAACAAATCTTCTCCTGCATGACCTACGACATGGCACAAGTATGCGTGATAGGTATCAGGCTTAAGGGTTCCAAGCCTCATACCTACTGGGTAGTGCAGGGCATAGGAAACCTGTGAAGGTAACTAAACTGCCTGCTGGGGATGGTCCCCTTAGAAGTTACTGCTGAAACCACATGCATGGCTAACATCCCAGAGCCAGAATCATTCCCGGAGGTATGTTAACATCCTCAGCCTCGCCAAAACATGAACCACCTAGCCTCGTCAAGCACTGTTTTACTGACTGACCCGGCTCCTGCTTCAGGCACCAGTGCAGTCACAGCACCCCAGTGCGGTTCTCCTCAGCTGGCATGCAATAAAGGGGCTTTGAAACTCTGCAAGGCAGCACCTGTACTTCTTAGTGCTCTCTTTGCCAGGTCACTCTCTGATCTACTCTAGCGGGTGATCCCAGATCTCTGCCAAGTCACCTCTTCAAGTTCTGCTTAGTACAAACTCATTTATGTCATATATTTTTCTTTTGAGCATTTCACCTTTTTCTTCTGATCCTTCAAGAAAAAAAATAATAATAAAATTTCGAACCAACTCCTTTCCATTTAACTTGCAGGTTGATCTGGAAATTCAACAGAAATGTTTTCTCCCGTTTATAGAATCAATGAAAAGCTCACATACATTTTGACAAATAAGAAGTTATATTTGGGGTGTAAGAATTGTTTATTTCTCTTTCTTGTCAGTGAAGACTTTTTGTGTCTCTGGCAGTAGCAGATTTACTAGATCAAGCCCTGTTAACAGCAGATGCTGTAGGTCTAAGTTCACAATAGACAGGTCTGATATTCCTGAAAACATCTCCTTGCCTCATATCACCTTATTATCATGATACAAGTATCTAAATATTCAGGAACTGAGTTACTGGCATTTCTAAAGAGATTAAGAGAATTTAAAGCCAGACACAGCTAATTTTGGTCTAGGTAAGCTAGGGTGAAACTACCAATGACCATCAAATTTCTGTGACTTCTGAAGCCTAAGGCCTCTCCCTCTTCTAAGTTTTTTCCTTTCATCCTGTTTTTAGTAATAAGCCTAGAAAGCTGAGTTGATCCATGATCAATACACACGAGGACATTACAGTGACTGCAATTTCTCCTTAGTTCATCAACAGGAAGCAGACTCGTTTGAGCACAGTTCTCCATCACATTACACGGTCTTAAAAATACAAAGAGGGTGCCATGAGTAGAAGAAAGACCTCCCCTTGAGGGCACATCACTCTGTATGAGTGGGTTTCTCTCCAACATACCTCTTCTGCCAGAAATTCCCTGGCCATACTTACACTGGACACTTTTGTGGCCCTCCATGAAAATGTGGAAGATGAGTGAATTACTTCTGCTAAGAGTTCTGCCTGAAAGCGAACCACAAGCAGCATGTCCTGCTCTGCTTGGACTCTCCCCTCATGATTTCTGGTCCTGTATTGGCCCTCAGCAGTAGCAGTGGAAAACAGCTTTTAAAATTACATGCAACTGAAGCAACCTCTAATAACTGTAAACATATTATTATGAATTTTACATGTCTAACAGTCTCAACAAAGTCTCATTCTTCTCTGCACATGACCAGACGTTATTATAGGCTTTATGAAAACCATTGGTTTCTATGCATTAGTGACTCACCACTTCAAACCCTCCTGCATATCCTCCTCCTCCAACACAGAGTGATCAGAATCAGAACTATGACGACAATTAAAATCCCCCCAGTAACCGGCAGCCAAAGCCACGAGGAACCTGCTTCTGAAAAAAAACAAGAAACAAAAATAATAATAACAAAAAACCCAAAAAACAAACCCAAGCCAAACTAAGCTAGTTTATATAGGAAAAAGAACAAAAAAAGAGGCAAGAGGATGTTTGATTAATGACAGTAGTTCCTCACTGATACTGTGAAAGCTGATTTTTCATTCTCCTAGCAAGGAATAACAACAGTCTCAGTTTCCTGCTTTCCGAGATACACATTTCCTTTTGAAAAGGCCAAGACAAAAGAATATTGCATTTGAGACAGGACAAAATTATTATGCTTTTCAATTACTGTCACTCAGAACTTAGAACTAATTTGCTTTTGAACTTTTAGAGAGAATATATTATAAGTCAGATATTACCCTTTACTACTATTCCTATAACAATCCCTTCTTGAGCACATAACTTGCGAATTAACCCAAAATCTCAAGCTGCTTTTCCTGTCTTTTTAATTTCCAGGTGGTCTTCCTGTTAAGTCTCTGGATTTGGAAACACATGAATTTCAAATCACCTAAGTCAATGTTCCTGTGTGAACCAAGAATGGTTCTTCACCTTTTAATGTTTCTATTTCTCATCTATAGAACTGAGGTGAAAGTCTTTCCAGCAGAACAGAATGTAGGAAGAAGAAATAAATTAGCACAAGGTATTCAGATGTTACACTGATGTATTTAAGATGTCCCCATAAAACCAGTGTAAGTATGTTCAACTGATCACCTTCCTGTCTGCCTGAAAATACTATTCCTCCCCGACCACTACTGCAATGCATGTCTGTCTTAGCAAAAACATCAGAAAAATGAAAACATAATACACAGGTTAACTGTACCAAAACGTGTAGTAAGTGTAATTGAAACATTTTGTTAATTGTTCAGAGATAGTGCGCTACTAATTTCAAAACTTCCACTTCAGTGTTAAGTGACCCACAGAGTTTTTATTTCATCTAGATAGTTATCAGGTGACAAGTATTTACATTTATCTTTGGACTCTCAAAGAAACTATGAAGGCCTACGTGAAAACTAAAGTTTGACTTGCTGCAAAAAGCATGGTACCTCTGAAACCCATAGCCCCCTAGATGACTAGTTTGGCTTTTTCCCCCTCTTGGAGGGGATGCCAGTATGTTATCATCTCAAAGATGAGAATGAATGCAAAGGAGGATTTTCCTTCTTCTTACTTGGAATATACACATTTCACTCCCCTCTCTTCCCAGCAGATTCCTATCTAAACATGCTATTGCAAAACACAGAAGCCAAGAGAACACTACCAAGCAGCTTGTACTGCTCACCTACCTCCTTTCATTTTCACAGGCAATTCTCTTTTTTCATTCACGTTGCTTACTCTGCACGTCAAGTCCTGTTCACCAATGCTCTTAATGTTGTAGATCTCCAGTTTACTGCTGATGGACACCATCCCATTGGTGTGGCTGACCTTCTCCTGTGTAGGAGTAGAATTGAACAACTTGTTCCAGGTGATGGTGGGTTCTGGGAGGCCAACAGCATTACAGATGGCTATCAAGTGACCTTCAGAAATGTTGTAATGGACAGATGCATCGAGACCTTCCAACACACAAATGAGACAATCCATCACCACAAAGAGCACCTGGTCATAGGCAGAGCAAAGCTTACTGGATTCACACTGAGCCCAATGGTACAGGAATGCAAAAAGAGTTCACTGGGTCAGGCTCCCCCCATTATTCAATACCTGTTCCCTTACACTGAAGTTATATAGCCCAAAAGTTTCACTCAACCTAAATTCCCAGAATCTAAGTAAAACCATTTCTTGGTCCATGCTGTTCTGTCTGCTAATTCCCTATCAGTGGTAGGGTTTGGCACAACAGCTCACAGCACCAGGGGTGTACCTGGTACCAAGAAGAAACTGCAACAGGCAATACTGGTTTGCCCAAGTTCCAGCTGGGCCTACTCAGGGGCTTACAAACAAAGATCCCACTCCTTGCTTTTTAGCTGTTACTCAAACAAGGACAGCCCAGAGCCAAACCCACCACAACAGGCTTGAATATGACCCCATAGAATCTTGTTCACAGCAGTAATGCTCTGTTTCTTTATTATGTTCCACCAAGGGATGCTCCTGCCACTGTGGTTCCTGAGTCTGTTCAAAGAAATACTGTGGGTGAGAAAACACCCCTTTTTTCCCCCCACTAGAGAAATCTCCCTGCAGAGAATCTTACCAAAGACACTCAGGCAGGTCCGTCCTGAGAAGGAGCCGTAAGGGAAAGTATTGAAGAGGCACGTGTAACACCCCGAATCATTCATTCTAGTGTCCCAAAAAGTGATGCTTGTCTCATTGAGTACCAGACTGGTGAAATTCAGTCGGTCTTGATAGGGCTCATGAATCTTTAATCCTTTTACTGTACTGTATGTAGCTATGTTATTGTGTGATTTTTCAGAGTCCTTTTGCCACGTCACTTGCAGAACATCCTGGGGTTCGGTCAGGGCACAGCTGAGAGTCACGTTGTCGCCCACCTTCACGTTTCTGTGTTCAGCCTGTGGAACCACTGCAATGATATGAAATAGTGAAACAGGCAGATCTCACACATATTCATAAGCCTAATTCTGATTCTAAGGCCTGGATTACCCAACAGATGCAATAAGTCCAACAATTACATATTGCTTCTGCAGTTTTCCCCCCACTAAAAAGCCCTTCCCCTGCATCCTCCTAGAAGTCAACAAAGTTATGTTGATTTACACCAACTAAGGCTCTTTCTTCTAAATTGTTTAAAAGAAAAAGACATACCCCATTTCTGTACCTATCCCTGCAGACTTCCCACCACACTTTTATTAAATCAACTCATGGCTTCCCATTCTCAGCAAAAGTTCAGATTTTGTCTCCTAACAGCGAGAGGAAGATTGAATGCACAAGTGAAGTACACACTAAGCCATTCGCAGAGAACTAAGCAGCAAAATGGGCTAAAGAATTTCTGGGCTATGTATCTTCAGAGTTTGCAGTGCATTTCAGAGGGAGAGAAAGGAAAAGACGTATTTGTTTCTGAGGGGAGGATCTGCTATGGGAAATTGTGAACTCAGGTGAAAAACAGTGTCCAATGTCACCGTAGATATGGGATGCTGCATGTCCCTACCACCTCCAAATGCTGCTCCAGGAGGTCTTGTCTTACATCTGCCACCTCCATACCTATGCCTCAGCCATCTAATGCATGTCAAAGAGCACCACCAATCTGTATTTCACCTATTTTTGCCTCTGACTGTTGAAGCCTCAGTAATCCAGAACCAGTTCCCCAACCATTTTCAGGAAGATTTCATAGAATGGTCAGGGTTGGAAAGGACCTTAAAATCATCGATTTCCACCCCCTGCCCCCTGTCCACAGGCAGGGAAGCCTCAATGCCCAAGGCTCTGTCCAACTCGGCCTGGAACACTGCCAGGGTTGGAGCATTTACCACTTCTCTGGGCAACCTGTTCCAGTGCCTCACCACCCTCATAGTAAAGAACTTCTTCCTTGTATCTGTGAAGTGGTTCTGGGTGGGGATGTCAGGTTTTACAGAAAGCCCCTTGCTTTTATTCCTCCTCTTACTCCTTTTTGTACAAGGGGGGACGCTTGTGGCCCCCGCATAGTTTGGGCTTGGAACCAGCAG